CGCGCGCGCCGCACTGGGGCTGCACCCACCGCTGCTGCCCTGCTGCATGAATGAAGGCCGCCCTCGTGCCCCCGCCCGCTCCTTGCCCGCGCCTGTGCAGGTGCACAGCCTCAAGCCCAACCCCAAGTCTCACATCCAGGAGGGCTGGCGCATCGCCGACTTCTTCTCCCACCACCCCGAGGCCATGCACATGGTGAGGCAGGGCCTGCAGACCCATCCGCCGCCTGCAGACCCATCTGCCGCCTGCAGGCAGATGGGTGCGGGCAGCGCGTGGATGGGTCGCCGCCTGCCCGCCCTGGCTCTCACGCCTGCCTGCCGCAACCCCGCCGCCTGCCCGCCACCTGCCCGCCACTTCCCGCCACCTTCAGTTCACCTTCCTCATGGACGACTGGGGCGTGCCACGCGACTACCGCCACATGGAGGGCTTTGGGGTGCACACCTTTGTGCTGGTCAACAGCCAGGGCAGGGAGACCCTGGTCAAGTTCCACTGGAAGCCAACCTGCGGTGAGGCAGTGACCGAGGCGAAAGAGGGGTGGCAGGGGGCGTGTGTGGTGCAAGGGTGGGCCTGGGCGGGGGCGGGGTGCCCCAGGCCAAGTTCCGCTGGAGGCCTGCATGCGGCGGGGCGGCGGGCCTGGGGCGCCTTGTGGTGTTGTGTCTGGTTGAGTGTCCAGCAGCCTGCCAGCCTGGCTGCCTTTCCGTTTTGCTAGGGCCTGCGATGAGGGACCCACGCCCGCCTGCCTGCCTGCGCTCTGGGTGCCCCCGCAGGCGTGGAGTTCCTTCTGGACGAGGAGGCGGTGCAAGTGGGCGGCAGCAACCACAGCCACGCCACGCAGGTGGGCGGGACGCCGGTACCGCGCACTGCCGTCGCCGTGGCACGTGGAACAGGACCTGGGGGCACATGATGGGGAGCGGCAGGAAGGGGCAGGCGCAGGCTCTCTCGCTGCCCATGCTGCCTGTTGTGCCTGTTGCCACAAACCGTGCCTCTTGTTCCTGATCCTGGGCTGCTGCGGCACTGCACATCGTACCGCAGGATCTGTACGACTCCATCGCGCGCGGCGAGTACCCCGAGTGGCGCCTCTTTGTGCAGACCATGGACCCTTCGGTGGGTGGCGGGGCCTCAGCGGGACCCTACCTGCCTGCCTGCCTGCCTGCCTGCTGCACGTACGCCTCCCCCTGGCCCCACCTTTCCCTCTGTCCCCCACCTTCCCTGCCACAGCGCGCCGACTCGTACGACTTTGACCCCATGGATGTGACCAAGACCTGGCCCGAGGACGTCTTCCCGCTGCAGGCACGCCCGCCTCCCCCTCCCCTGCCTTCCTGCCTACCCGCCCCACACCCTGGGCCTGCCCGCGTGCCGCGGGCGCCCACGGTCCCAGCGTCGCCAGCGCCTAGCTCTCCCAGCCCTGCCTCAGTGCCTCACTCCCCTAGCCCTGCCTGCCCCTGCCTGCCTGCCTGCCTGCCCGCAGCCCGTGGGGCGCATGGTGCTCAACCGCAACCCAGACAACTTCTTCAACGAAAACGAGCAGCTGGCCTTCTGCCCCGCCCTCATCGTGCCGGGTGGGTTTTTGTTTTTTCAACCGCGGTGGCAGGCACGGCATTGATTGAGGCGGCGGAACAACGAGCCCGGCTGGTGCCAGCTGGCGAGCGCACGCGCCGCCACCCCCACACCTGGCTTTTGCCCGCCCACCGCATCACCCGCTCGCCCCCGCGCCTCCCTGCCCCGCCCTTTCCGCCCTCCCCCTGCAGGCATCGCCTACAGCGACGACAAGCTGCTGCAGACCCGCATCTTTTCCTACCAGGACACGCAGCGCCACCGCCTGGGAGGCAACTACCTGCTGCTCCCCGTCAACGCGCCCAAGTGCGCCCACCACAACAACCACCACGACGGCGTCATGAACTTCATGCAGCGCACAGAGGAGGTGCGCCGGCGGCGCGCTGGGCGGGGCAGGATGGGGTGTCGGGGCGGGCTGGGCTGGGGGATGGTCGCGGGGCGCGCTCCGCCTGCCTGGCAGGCTCGATACTGCTGGCGGGCCCCGCGCACCTGCCCTCACCATCACCTGCTCTCACACTTTCCTCCCCCTGCCTCCCTGTCCTTTCCACCCGCCTGCCGCAGGTCAACTACTTCCCCTCCCGCTTCGACCCGGCCCGTCACGCGGAGCAGTACCCCATCGTGTCCCGCCCCCTGGCCGGCCGCCGGGAGCGCGGTGAGTGTGGTTTGGCCGCTGGAGAGGCATGCCTGCAGCCGCCGTCGGGGGCGCAGGCTGGGGCGCGGCTCCCGCGCTGCCTCGCCTGCCGCTGCTTGGTCTCGCTCCCGACGCCCATCCCATGAGGCCCGCCTGCTTCCCTGCTTGACGTTGCCTCGCGCCTGGCGCACCTCAATTCTTTCACCGCCTCGCCCACACCAGCGCCCACCACTGTGCCTCCTGACTGTATCACCTGGCTGCCTGTACCGCCCCGTGCCGCCCGCACTGACTGTACCGCCTGGCTGTCTGTGACGCTGCGTGCTCCCCGCAGCCGTCATCCCCAAGGAGAACAACTTCAAGCAGCCCGGGGAGCGGTACCGCAGCTGGGATACCGCCCGCCAGGAGCGCTTTGTCACCCGCATCGCAAACGAGCTGCTGCTGCACCCGCGCACCACGCAGGTAGGGGTGGAGGGAGGGTGGAGGGTGTGGGGCAGCGCGCGTGTGTTCAGCCTGGAGGCGGCGTTGCGGAGAGAGAGGGGGGGGAGAGAGAGTGTTGTGTGTGCGTGTGTGTGTGTGTGTTGTGTGTCTCTTGAGCCTGTCGCGAGGGCGCATCTCCGGCTGTGTGGCAAGCCGGTGTGTCGGAGAGCTGCAGCGCTGTGAGGCGCTGCCACGCCACGCACGCCCCGACCCCAGCACTCGCCCGCTGCTGCCGACCCCTGCGCATTGCCCCTGCCCCCTGCAGGAGATCCGCCGCGTGTGGCTGGGCATGCTGTCGCAGTGCGACCAGAGCCTGGGCCAGAAGGTGGCCGCCAAGCTGCAGGCCGCGTCGGCGCTGTGAGGCTGCCGCCGCCGCCAAAGCCTAGGCCTAGGCTGCGGCTGCGGCCCCAGGAGCGTGTCTCCAAGGCGGCTCCCTCCCAGCCGCCGCAGCGCTGCGGGGCTGCCAGCCAAGGCTGAGGCCAGCCTGAGGCGGAGGCTGAGCCCGCCGGATGCCTTTCCCTCCGGCGCGGACGACTTTGCATCGCAGGCAGCACAACCGCAACCCTCTCGACCCCTTTGAGCGTGCTTTCCACCACCCCATGATACCAAGTAGCCCAGTAGCTGTGCAGCAGCCATATTCACTGCTGCCGCCCTCGCCCCGCCGCCTGCCTCTACCCCTCGTCCCGTGCTAGCGTCCCTAGTGTGTGCACGTCCCTACCCAAGTTTTCCCACCTGTCTGCCATGTGCCGGGCAGCCATTTTTGCGGCCCAGTGCAGCCAGCCGCCTGCGCAGTGCCAGCCACGCCGCTGCGCATGATGCGTGCGTCGCGTTTGCTGCGCGCTGCCAGGCGTGCTGCCCGCTGGCCACCCCAGTTTTGCTGTGCGCGTGCCGATTCAGCAGTTCCCAAGTCCCTTCCAAATGAATATAGCGTTCTAATCCAATACATGTAACGAATGTAGCGTGACGCAAGGGACCTTCAGCTCCCGGGAGTGCGTGGCAGCTGTGGACTCAGCGCAGCGAGTGCAGCGCCGCCACCGCCGCCAAGCTGCCGGCCAGGAGGGCGGCCGGCGACAGGGCGCGCGCGGTTGCTGCGCTGGCGCGTTTGAACACGCTGACCCAGGCCTGCGGCTGCACGCCCAGGATGTAGCTTGTGGCCTCGGTCAGCTGCAGGGCAGGCAGGCAGGGCGGGGCAGGGGAACAGGTGGGGAGGCGAGGAGCCACAAGGTGGCGGCTGATCGCCCGGCGCGCTGGGCTGAGCGCCCGACGGCGCTGTAGGGGGCTGAGCGCGGCACAGCCTGCGCCCCTGGAAGCCTCGCCGGCTCTCGCCTCCCGTGGCAGCCACAGCGCCCACCGTGAACTGGTAGATGCAGTCGATTGTGAGGGTGCGGATCTGTAGGGTATTGGCTGTGCCTCCGGGCGTGACGACAAACGGAGTGGTGGGCTGCCTCAAGGGCTGCCCCGCGTCAGCCTTGAACACGCCCGTGGCCTGCTGGTTGTCGCCGCTGGCGTCGGTGCTGATGGCGGCAAAGGCTTCGGGGCAGCCCACCATGGTGCCGTTGAGCATGGCCCAGCCCGGGGCGGGCGGCAGCAGCTGCAGCGTGTCGCCGCTGGAGCGCAGGCCCAGCCGCCCCGCCTTTGCGCACGCCGCGATTGACTGGCTGTCGCAGGCCGCGCTGCCCAGCGTGTTGGTGTACTGCATGTAGCCGCGGACGCGGAAGTCGCGCATCGTGGTGGCAGAGGCCTGCAGGGCCAGGCGGCAAGCGAGGAGAGGGCGGCAGACGGCAGCGGCGGCGGGCAGGCGGGTAGGCGGGGCTGGGTTGCGCGCTGGCGCCGCGCTGATGAGCGGACGGGATGAACGCTCTGGACCAGCGGAAGCAGGGGCGAGCCGCAGGCAGGGCAGCGGTCTCGCATATCGATGTTTGACGGCCCGCACCTGCGATAGCAGGGCCAGCAGCGATAGGAGCAACCCATGCACCCGCATGATGTCGTAGCTCAGGGAGTTTGAAGGTCCCGCAGAGAATAGCGAAATGCACGGTTGGTCTGAAGGCGCCGGCGCCAACTGTGCACAAGCCTAGCCTTCGCACCCTTGAGCAGCAAAGCATCGCCTTTGTCTGCGCTTTTATAAAACTGCGGCAATATAGTTGGTTTGAAAGGTCAGGCATTGTTTGCTGCGATTGTGCCTCGTCCGGCACGTGCTTCCCGGCCTGCAGCCCTCGGCAGCCTGCCCCTTGCGCACTTGTTGCCGGAAAGCTGCGCTGCGGAGGCGAGGCAAGCAGGCGGGCCCTGCACGCTCACCGCCGCCCTCAGCCTGCCGCATCACCCGCCGCCGCCGCCCCCGCCCCGGAGCAACCACTGCAAGCTGGCAGCTCACTCTCCCTTCAACCCATGCCACACCCACCCTGCCAACACACGCAGCCACATGACGAAGTCAGGCCACATGACGAAGGCAGGCCACATGACGAAGCACCGTCAAGCAGAGAGAGCGCGCGACGGCGCAAGGGGGCGGCGGCCCGACGGCACCGCGGCCACCCGCTTGGCAATTCGCGTGGCCGAGCTGCTCAGCTGCATCCCACCTGCCTTCCCTGCTGCTGCTGTGACAGCCACACCAGCTAACACACTGCCCTCGACAGAGCTTTGGAGCCCAGCTCTCCCGGCAGCAGCGCCCATGCAAGATCCAGCCCTTCCATGCAGCACAGCAGCGCCGGGCCCGTGCCATATGCTGCCACCCCTTGAACCCAGCTGCCCCGGCAGCCCCAGCAGCCCCAGCAGCCCCAGCAAGGGCCGCCGCCTGCAGCGCAGCGTGCGACACAAGGCCCGGGCGGCGGTGGGGGTCAGGCATGTGCCGCCGCCGCGCGGCCGCCAGTGGGGTGCCTCGCCACAGGTTATCAGCACCGCAAGGAGCACTCCCTTCAAGGTGCCCTCTGAGGAGGCTGATGCAGCGGGGAAACCACGGTGTGGCACCCCCGTGCCGGTGTTATCCAGCCCTGCAGCGCCGCCGCCGCGCAGCCCGACAGGGACCAGGCCCTGCAGCCCTGCAGGCCCAGCGGTTGACCAGGTGGGAGGCCAGCGGTCACCTTGCACCCCAGGCAGCCTCCCCAGCCTGGCCCCGCCGGCAGCAGTAGAAGATGGCGCGGCGACGGCGGCGGCGGCGAAAGCGGCACCAGGCAGCGGCAGGCGGCCATCCTCCCTGGCAGCCCATCTGCAGCAGGAGCTGCTCGCTTTGCTGCGGCGGCAGCGCAGCTACGTGGGCGCGTGGCGGCAGGTGCGACGGTGCCGCGCAAAATTGCTGCTCAGCCGCTGAGTTCTACCCAGTTGCCTGGCGGCCTGGAATCCCCGTCCAGTCCTGCTGCTGCTGCTGCTCAGGCCGTGCCGCCATGTGTTCCCTGGCCTCGCGCAGGTGCACCTGCGGCAGATGCAGGGCCTGGAGCAGCAGCTGGTGAAGCTGGAGGCGCGGTGGCGGCAGCTCCCGCCGCCGCAGCCTCGCACGCGCCGCGGCGCGCCGCCGGCGTGGCACGGGCGCGCGGCAGCTGCACAGGGCAGCAGCAGCGGCAGGCCTGCCACCACGCTGTTGCCGCCGTTGGCGATGGATCCATCGGAGCCTACCCTGGGAGGAGAGTGGCTCTCGGAGGGAGAGGCCACGCTGTGGGGGCCACCCCAGCAGAGCATACCCCAGCAGAGCGGCGGCAGGCAGAGGGGGCAGGCCAGGATGAGCGGCGGCAGCTCGCCGCGCTCGGCGCCAGACGGCGGCAGCTTCCGGCTGCCCTCGCTGCAAGCTGACCCCTGGTCACAGCTGCCCTCCACTCCAAGGCTGCGGCAGGTGGCACCCGGCCAGCTGTGCAGCGCGGCTGTGGCAGCTGCAGCGGGCCAGCGGCAGTGGTGTGTTGTGTCTCGGCAGGACCTGCCACCGCTGCCGCCGCCGTCTGGAGTGGAGCGGCAGGCAGGCAGAAGCCGCACCCCAGCTGCCGCAGCTCCCCACACTGCCGCAGGGAAGCCAACAGGGGGTCACAGCAGCCCCAGCCCTGGCCCCAGCACCAGCACCAGCCCCAGCACCAGGCCCGGCACAGCTTTGGAGCGTCTGAAGCTGGCGCAGCTGCACAGCTCTCCCGCGCCCTTCAGGCGCCACACAGCCACCGGCAGCGCTGGGGCTGGCCAGGCAGCGGCCACAGGTGGTGTGGGCCCCCTGCCGGGGGCCAGTCGTCTTCCCGATGGCAGCAGGGAGCCAGGGGGCACCCCAACCTCCTCGCAGCATCGGCAGCAGCAGCCTGAGGGTCCTGGCCAGCAGGGGCATGCGGCAGGTGCAGCCGCCTCCCCAGCTGGCGCGCTGGGTGCGCTCAAGCTGCGGCGGCTGGCATCCATGGCGGGCCAGCTGACGACGGGCGGCCTGCGCCCCGCCACTGCGCCCTGCTGACGCCTGGCATCCTGGCGTGACTTGGCTTGCTTGTTTACTGTGGCAGCCGAGGTAAACAACAAGTATTGTAGCACCAATGCATCAGCAAACAGCCTTGTAATGCAGCCAGGACGATGCCGGTAAACATCAAACAGCGGCAGAGGTCCAGCTGCCACGGCCAGCTCAAGAGTCGAGGCCCAGATCTGGTACCGTGACAAGCGCCTGCCAAGCTTTCCCACCCGTACCCTTCTACCCACCCAACTCACTCCTCCCTGGCTGCCAGCGTGCGCTGCAGCTGCCTCAGCTTGTCGCCGTACTGCCTGCTCCACGCCCCCGGCACCAGGCTGGAACAAAACATGACGGGAGTGATGTCTGCAGGCGCGGCACAGCAGCAGCGGCGGCAGCGGCAACGCTGGGGAGTCGCGAGAAGGTGCTGCAGGACGGGTCCTCGATCGGTCGGGCATGCAGAGCGGCCACAAACGGCGCCGCCAGCGGCACCTGCGCTGCGGCGTTCACCTGCGTCCCGCGTGAACAGGCGCTGCGCCCAGAACTGGTGCAGCTGGCCCGAGCGCTGCCGCCACTCCGCGCCCGCCAGCTCGTTCACCTGCAGCCAAGCAGCCGCGTGCACGCCGGGGAAGGCAGCTGGCCTGAGCCACACGCCAAAGGAGGGCGCCCGCCCTCTGTGACGGATCATTGCAGGCTGCCCTTCTTCCCACTGGCTTCTTGGCAGTGTCAGGGTGATGGTATGCTACCGGCTGCATCCATATCCACGCGCACCTGCACCCCCAGCGTGCTCCCAAACTCCCGGAAGGCCAGGCGCCAGCCCTCCGGCTGGCGGAAGTAGCCCTCGCCCCACAGCTCCTCCAGCGCCGCCAGCGAGCGCTGCACAGCAAGAGGGCTCGGCGGCGGCCAGGAGGCCAGCGGGCACAGCACGTTTGCACTAAGGCTGAAGTGAGATGATGTTGTGGTGGAATCTGCCGGCAAAGTAGCACCAGGGGCTGCGGCAGCCCCTGGTGCTGCTGGCAGCCGACAAACTCGCAGCTCAGAACAATTGGTGCCACCTGCTGGTCACAACAGTCCACCGGAACTGGCCGGAAGGAGAGCAGACCTGGCAAACGCACCTGGGTGACCAGCTGCGCCCAGGGCTGGCCGGGCAGCCCCCAGTGGGCCAGCCACAGCGCCTCACCCAGATCCAGCGGGTCGCTGCTGCGGTACCTGCAGTACAGTCGTGCCATCAGGCACACCAAAAGAAGGCCCGGCCCTCACGAAGCGCCGGCGGCGGCCGGCAGGCTTGAACAATGGCACAGCGCAGCGCAGCAGGCGCCGCCCGGCCCAGCCATCGTGGAGTTTAGCAGCCGCAGTACACTCCTCCTCAGGCAACAGGGCCATGGCAATGCAGGCAGCTGGACTTGTAGTACCATACTTCAGCACATAAATAAAGCACTACCGTGATAACTCACCAGCGGTACTTGCGCTCCACCATGCGCTCCATGTCGTCAATCTGTGCAGCCAGCACCGACGGGTCCCCCGCTGCAGGCAGGCAGGCGCTCCGTCGTAGACAGCAAAGCAGCAAGCGGGGCAGACATTCTTCAAGGGGTTGCGCCCCTGACGTGCAGCCCTGGGGGCAGAAACCTGCTTGCACACGCAGCGCAGAAGCAAAGCACTAGCAGGCAGGGGAAGGGCGGGCAGGTGGGCAGGGGGCAACGATGCGCTGGCTGCCGGAGCCCTGCAAGGGGTGCCCACCCGTCTCCTGCAGCAGGCGGTAGGTCACCAGCCCATCAAATGGATCCAGGTTGCCTTCGCTGTTCACCTGCGCCGCCAGAGGCAGCAGGGGGAGGCACACATGAGGCACATGCGAGAGCTCAAGCGTGCAGCGGCGGGCTCGGGGAGGCGCTAGGACACCTGCCGACCCGCCTGCCTGCCCGCCGCCTGGATGGCAGCTGTCCAGGCACGCGCTCCCTGTGCATGTGCCTGCCATGCTCCTGGCTCCCTGTGCCGCCGCCGCGCTCACCAGCGGGCGAGACATGTCGATGCTTATCTTCCACCACATGCGCGGCTCGCGGCCGCCGCTGCCGTCCACAAAGTGAGGGTGGGCGGCCTCCATGAGCTGCACGACATGCGCAGCGTGCACAGCACACAGCAGGCGGGCGCCGATTTGATCGGTGCATCGAGTCGATGCACACACACACACACAGGCAGGCTGAGCTGATGCGCAGGAGGAGCAGGAGCAGCGGGCAAACAGGATGGATAGGAACACCTGCCAGGGACAGTGAGGCCACACTACCTATCCGCACCCGCAAGCAGGCCGCGCACCTGCACCGCCCACCGGTTGTACTTGTCGTCACCCCTGGCCAGGCTCATGCGGTTGAGGGCAAAGCCCCACTTGGTGAGGTAGTGGAAGTCTGCGGTACGGTGGGACAGTACCAGTGGATCAATGCAGCAGGACAGTTGTGGTACAGCAAGTCAGTGAAGAAGTGAACAGGGGGTGGCCTTGGCTGGCACCTCACACTGGCCGTCGCCGTCCGGATGCCCCTCCCCATGCGCTTTGCCGATCCTCAGCCCGCCCCTGCGTGCAGCAACAGCACCAGGCTGCTCAGCGGGTTTCAAAGCCCGAGGCACGGCAGGGCAGCGCCTCGCAGCTGGCGCCGGCAGCCCCCAACCTGCTTCCGCTCCGCACCTGGTTGGCTCCGCGTCGGTGGCACCACCCAGCCGCCGCTTGCCATCTCGTGTCTTGCCCAGAGTGTCGTGCACGGCTGCAGGCGCGGTGCGAGCAGGCGCAATGCGGGGCACGCATGGTAATGCTCCGGCACCATCCCCACCACCTGCTGGACTCTTGGTGCCTCCAGCAGCCCCTGGCATGACCAAATGGCTCCAGTCAAGCTCTCACAATGCGCCGCCCAACCGACCCGTGATCAGCGCGGCGGCTTGGTCCAGATACACCCTCTGACCGGTCTCCGCTGCAAGAGTTATGTAGTTGACCACGCCGAATGCGTCCGTCCAGAGGTACCTGCAGAGAGAGAGGCGGCCGCGGCAGTGTGAAAGTCTCTCCTGAGCAGAGCGCTTGCTGGCGGCGGCGCCGCCGTGCCTCCACCTGCTCTTGTTCTCCGCGTATGTGCGCGGCCGCCAGCTCGCCGCGTGACCAGGCTCAGATGCCCCATACACGTGGTTTGCCACCGCCCCAGCCGCGTGCAGCCTCCCTGCCGGCGTTGCAATATCCCTCAGCGCAGAGGCCAGGCTCGTCAGCCCCGCCATGGCCTTGTGAACATCACCGATCAGTTTTATAGCGAAAACAAAGAGCAGATCGGTGACGCACGAAGGGGTTTGACGTTTCCAGAGGACGATGACCTGGCGGGCGCGGACACTGCGGGCGCTGAAACTGGGGCAACGGACTTTCATTCCCGCTGCCCTGTGAGGCATGAACCTCGCTGCTCTATCGTCCCTCTCCCACACTGCGTCCACCCTGTTGCATTACACCTCCGCCTCCGCCAGCGGCAGGCGGTACACCTGGTAGTGGTGGTTCAGGCTGCGCTGGGCATGCAGCCTGAAGGCGCCGCCCAGGGCGCCGTACCGCCGATCGGCGCAGCAGAACACCACCCGCCGCAGCCGGCTGTGCACCAGAGCCATGGCACACATGGTGCAGGGTTCACGCAGCACATAGCAGTCATAGCCGGTGCAGAGGTAGGGGCGGGGGCCGGGGTCGGCAGCAGGCGCTGCCGCCCGCTCGGCAGCGGACGCCTCTCCCCTCAGCGCCGCACGTGGCTGGCTGCCTGCTTCTTCTTCTGCTGCTGCTGGTGCGGCTAGCCGGCCTGCGCCATTGTCCGCTCGAAGAGCAGTGGCTGCGCTACCATCCCTGGGCTCGTGCTGCTGCTGCTCTTGCTGCTGCTGCTGCCGCCTCGGCCGTTGCAGGTGGTTGCCATTCTCGGCAGCCGCATGTTGCACGTCGGCACACCCCTCCAGCCGCCGCCGCTTGCCGTCAGCCGCTCCCGGATCGCCGCAGGCAGCGCCCCCTGCCACCTGCTGCAGCTCCCCGGATCGCTGCCCCGCGCCGACGGCCGCCTGCTCCGCCGGCCACGTGCGCAGCTGCCAGTCTGCCGCCGCCGCGACCGCCGCAATGGCGGCGTGCTGCAGCGGGTGGCGGTGCGTGCAGTCTGCCGCCTGAGCCACCACCGTGCCGCGCTGGGGGTCCACAATCAGGCAGGCGTTGGCCACGCCGCCGGCATCTGCATTATGGCGGGCCAGCTGCCAGGCAGCCGCCATGTGGTGCCGCATGGCTGCCGCCTCGGCGGGCGGTGGCGGCGCTGCCGCCGCCACGGCTGCGGGGTCTGGCGGGCGCCAGTTGAGCGGCCAGTGCTGCGACCACTCATCCAGCTGCTCACGCGTCGCGGGCGCATGCATGGCCACCTGCGTAACAGGGTGCAAGCCGAGCAAGGGTGCGCAGGTTGCCTGCAGCCACAGTGGCGGGCCCATCGCACCATCACTGCCAGCACCAGCACCAGCTGGGCAAAGCACCTGGCGCCGCACCACAGCGCCTCACCTGCACGGTGAAGGGCTGCAAGCCGTGCTGCCGCACAATCTCCGCCACCGCGGGCGGCAGGGACGGCGGCTGCTCGCCAGCAGCGCTGCCTGTCTGCTGCCGCCCGCCGGCCTCTCCATCCTTCCCCAGCTGCTGCTGCTTCTGCTCAATGTCATCCTCAACCTGCTGCTGCTGCTGCTCCCAATCCACTCGGCACAGCAGGATGTGCAGGGCGAGCGGGGAGGAGTCTATGCGCTTGCGCACCCGCTTGACGTGTTGGAGGCCCGTCAGCGGCGACGCCACCGCGAGCGCCTTCATCAGCGGGCCGCCTAGCCGGGGATCCACGCTGACCGCTTGCATCTGCACCAGCTCCAGCACCGGCCCGGTGCTGGCGGGCACCGGGACAGGCTGTGCAAACTGCGAGCTGCCGGGCGGCATGCCTGCTGCTGGGCGAGCGCCGGCGGAGTGCGCTAGGGATTGCGGAGCAGAGGACCGATTTACGACAATCGAAGGCATGCCGCCGTTTATCCTGCTTGGGGCGGCGCGCTGGGACCGCTGTGGCGGGGACACATTTTTGCCTCATCTCCCGCTGCTGAAAGCCTCCACTGATTCAGCCTTCCTTTCTCGGCAGGGATGTCGCACGATGGGCCCATCAGCCAGCCAGGGATCCCGCTGGCAGGCAGTGCGAAGAGGCGGGCAGCAGCAAGGCGGCGGGCGCAGGCCGGGCGGGTGGAATGGGAAAATCACAGAGACAGGTGTCTACACTTCCTGCAGCAGGAAGCCTTGCCGTCGACGGAGCACTGGGGCGCAAGCCAAACCTCTCCTCTTGCACTTCGTTTGCCTGGTCCAAATCCTGCTGCTAGGCCACTCCCGCCATGCCAGGTGCTCTTGCATGCACCTGCCGCCGCCAGCGAGCTTTACACCGCAGCGCACATCGCAGCCCCTGCCGCTGCTGACGCCGCTCATGTTGCGAGTGGGGCAGCAGGCAGCGGTCCGAGGCGCGTCGTGCTGCGTTGGGGGTGCGCCGCCGCGCTACGGCGGCGCACCGATCTGGGCTGCCACCTCTGGGTGCTGCTCCAGGTACCGCGCCACGCTGCCCTCATCGTTCTCCACCAGCACTCCGTTCTTCAGGCAGCTGGTGGCCCCCGCGATCCTGAGGTGCAGCTCCCGCTGCGCATCCACCGCCGCACGGTCGCCTGCAGGGCGGGGCGGGGCGGGACGGGGCGGGATGGACAGCCGGGCAGAGGGCAGGGCCAGGCTTAGCTGAACCTTCCAGCTGCGGGGCCGGCTCTGCCGGCAGGTGCTGCGGTGCGAGCAAGGCAGCTGTCCGGGGCGGCTGCCCGGGGACCGAGCTTGCTCCCTCGCTCACCCTTCCAGCCCACGTGGCGGGCCAGGGACTGGGCGCCCAGCAGCCGCCCGGCGTGCACCCGCACGTCCGTGTCCTTGTAGCGAGACAGCTCTGGGAAGCTGTTGATCATTTCCCGCCACTTGCCCACCCCATACCGCTCCAGGCCCTGCAGGAAAAGAGAGCAGGGCAGCGGCAGCGAGGCAAGGTGGGTCGCGACGCTGGAAGCACAGCTGTCGTCGGCTGCCGGCAGCTCTGGCGCCGTGCCATGCAATGTCGGCATCGTGGCTCAGCGAGCCGGCACCGCGGCTTTCAGCCACCGCACTGGGCATGCAGTGTCCGGCGGCGACTGCCAGTCTCTGCCAGCCTCTGGCACACGGGGACGCACACAGGCTGCCATCAGTGCCGCCCGGCCGCCGCGTGCCCCCACCTTGTAGAGCGCCTCCTTTTGTGCTGCGCCCCACTTCTCGTCGTCCTTGAGGCGTATGATGATGTTCTTGGGCTTGAAAAAGTCCTGGTCCACCTCGCCGTCGGCCTTGCACATCCCCTCGGGGCTGAACGCGCTCCTCATCTGCTTCACCCACTCCAGCCGATCTGCAGCCTCTTGCTGGTTGCCATGCGGCGGCGCCGCGTGCTGCTGTGGCCCCTCCGCTGCTGTCGCCATTGTGCCAGCCGCTTGCGTGTTGAACAGCGAGCGTCGCGGCTCTAAAAGTGATCACATGAATCGAAAGTGCGAATCAAACCAACAGTGTCGCGTTTGGGGTCCCTGGTGGGTTTGAATTGGAAAGCCGCCGCCACCCGCCTGCTGCCGGCCTGCCCCCAGCCTGTCTGTCGCCTGTGGGGAAAGCGGGGGCACAATTCACTGATTGCATCACTGACAGTATGGGCAGTTTGTGGCAGAAAAAACCATGCCAGCGGACGGCACGCAACGGATCAGGCGAATAGGCAGGCGGCAAGCAGACGGGCGCCGCCGCAATGAATGCCCCGCGGGCATGCTATTGGTACAGTGCGAGCCTGGAAAACTGGATCTCGAGAAACAGCGGCATGCGTGTGTGTGGCCTGCCCAGGACCAGCAGGCTGGCGCCTTGCGGCTAGCTGGCACCAGCATCAGGGCAGGCAAGCGCCCAGCTGGGTCGCAGCCGAGGGAGGCGCGCCCCCCACCTCCTCCATCACTCCATCTTGATCGCTGTGACCACCGGCCCGTGCGCCGCCGCCTCGGCTGCCCCCGGCAGCGCCATGGCCGCCGCCACCGCGGCCGCAAGGATGCCCTTTTCGATCTTGAGCAGGCGCGCGGCCACGGTAGGGCGCGGCCCCTTGGCGGGGTCTGCGATGATGGCCTCATCCTCCTCGATCGTGGTGCGGTACCGCGACTGGCGCAGCCGCAGGTGCGTGATCAGCTGCGGCGGCACGGGCGGCGAGCGCGCGGCGGCGCCCGGCGCGTCAGTCCACTGGCGGCGTGTGGGCTGGCTCGGGCAGCCACCCGCCACCCGCCGGCCTGTTGCCGGAGGGCTCCGGGCAGCAAGGGAAGCTGCGTCCTGTGCCGGCAGCCTGCCTCGTGACACACCCTGTACTGCTCCGCTCCGAAACACATAGCATAGACATGCGCCATGCGCTTCGCACCCAACCACACAGCACAGACACGCACGACACATATGACACAGGCCCGCCCCGCTCAGCTGCCTCACCTGGTTGAGCACGGTGAGCTCGTTTTCAGGCGCCACCGGCCCCGCCTCCTCCTCCCACTTCACCCCCTCCACATCCGCCTCCCGCGTGGAGTGGACAAGGCGGAGGTAGGGCAGCAGCTGGGCGGGCAGCGACGCCGCCGCCTGCAGCTGGAAGGTCTGCTGCGTGCTGAGGCCGCGCTCCGCCAGCCGGTCCCGCTTCAGGCGGTACAGCGGGTCGTCGCTAGGGATGGTGACTGCGACAGGGGGGAGGCGGGGTAAGGTCAAGGTGGGAAGGAACCTGCCCAGTCCTGTGCGTGGGCGTGCGTGTGGTGGTAATAAGGTGGCAGGGTGGAGTGGGGATGGGGTGGGGGCTGGCCGGGTAGCTGAGATAGCGGGCAGGTCTGCTGGGTGGCGGCGGCAGACAACCAGAACAGAACAAATCCCAAAATAACTCAAAAAAGGGGCACTCACTGGACAGCGGCAGCTTGTCGTAGGGGTTGCTCTCATCCACGATCCCGTAGTTGATGAGCAGGCGGCTGTTGGGCTGCGGCCCGCACCACGCCAGCACAGCCTCGCCCGGCTGGTAGGCGCGGTCCACCGCCAGCCGCACCTGGCCCGACAGCAAACAAGGGGGCAGGTGAGGCAAGCAAGTCAGTCGCATGGTGCGCAACGGCAAGCCTTCTGGGGAGAAAAAGGGAGAGGTGGAAGTGGAGGGAGTAGGGAGCGGCAGGCGCGCGTAGCGCAAATCAGGGCTCTGTTCAGGGCTGCCGAGGCGCACCTCGTGGCTCTCCGGATCGAATTTGAGCATCGCCTTGGCCGTGCTGCTGTAGGTGAGCAGCGGCGGGCCCATGGGCACCAGCGCAAAGCGCTTGCTGCAGCCGGGCAGGCAGGCGGGTAGGCAGGGTGCGGGGTGGAGGCTCCAAAGACCACCCCAGTAGGCACGCACTTGCTGCAGCCATCAGCATGGCCCCGCTGGGCTGCTGCACCCCAGCCGCGGCATCTCCAGGCAGGCATGCTGCCAGCGCGGCGGCAGGCAGGCAGGCAGGCAGCCAGCTTAGGTGCCAGCGGGCTCACCCAAGCGCCACACCCTGCAGGTGCACCACCGAGGACTGCACCGCGGTGAATGCCTGGCGGAAGACGGGGAAGGAAAACTGCTCGGTGGGCGGCGAGAAGGGCTGGCGGTTGAACAGGCTGCAGGGGCGAGCGCGCAGGGGGGCAGCGAGCGTGGGGTGGTGAGCAGGCGGCGCATGGGATGCTGCAAGCAGTGAGCCGCTGCGGCGTGCGGGGCTGGGAGCGGGCGGGAGGGTTGGCAAGGCGGGCGGCGGCTGGGCCTTGCAGCGCAGGCAGGCCGGTGCAGGGGCGTGCTGGCTGCACGCAGCGGCTCATGCGGCACAGTACACGCCCCGTACCGCACCTTCCCGCCAGGTACCACACAGTATCCAGCTCCTCGTACTCTTTACGGATGCCCTGCAGCGCGCAGGCAGGCCACAGCAGGGGGCGACGCGGCTCAGCCCCAGCAGAGGCGCGCAGGTGCGCAGAGCTGGCGAAAGCCGCTGCTGTGGAAAGCGACATGCAAGGGAGCTCGCCAGCTGCTCCCAGCTGCTGACCAGCTGAGGCAGGTAGGCAGGCAGGCAGGCAGGCAGGCGCGGTCCCAGCCGAGGGCAGCGGAGGATGGCGCCCACCTGCAGCCGCGCCTCAATCTCTCCCACCACCGGCGACCCGGCCAGCAGCTCCGCCGCCTGCCCCTCGTCCCACAGCAGCGGCGACTTGGCGCCCTGCAGGCGGCGCACGCCACGGCAGGCAGGCAGGAAGGGCGAGGGTCAACAGGCAGGGAGCGCGGGCAGCGTCGGCGGCTGGGCCCTCGTGCACGCGCGCCTTCAGCACAGGCAGCTGCCTAAGCTGTGAGCCAAGCTGGCACAGCCGCAGCTCGGCGTAGGGGTGCCGCACCTGGGAGCCGCGGCCCTGCATGCGGTCCAGCTCCTTGATGAAGCTGGAGGAAAGAAAGGAGGGAAGAAAGGAGGAGGAAAGCACGTTGGCGCTGAGGGACGCGGGGCAGGCGATGCGTGCGGCTGCGGCGTTGCCGGCGCCAGGCAGCGGGCAGCCGCACACGGCTGGCATGGAGAGGGAGGCCAGTTCACGCCCGGCCCATCCCATCCCAGCACAGCGCAGCGCAGCGCAGCACAGCGCAGTAAAGGCAGAGCATCCGCCGCGCCCTCGCACGCGACACGCTCCGCACGCACCGGTACCAGCAGCCCTCCTTGCCCCGCTTCTTCTCATAGGCGAGGTACAGCGTGAGGCAGGCCAGCTCTGCGGGCGGGCGGCAGGAGCGTTCAGGGGTGTGAGTGGGGGGTGGCTAGGGTCGTGCGTTCCGGCAACTGGAACACCCGCATGTGGGGTGTGGGTTGGGTGCTGGGGAGACGGGTAGATGCGGTCACGGGCTGGAAGCACGGTCGGCACGCTGCCTGAATGCCGGCCGTGCCCGGGCCGCTTGCCCCGCCGCCGCCCGCGGCGCGGCCGCGCACCCGACAGCTTGCCGGTGGTCACCAGCTCTGCCAGCGTGTTGTCCTCCAGCACTCGATCCAGGGTGACGATGAGGTGCTCGGGGATGCGCAGCGCGACGTCGCCCGGCTGCAGCGCCTCTGCCGCCACAGTGATGTCAACCTCCGTCCCCTCCCGCACCACCGTCTGCAGCTTCACCTTCTGCTGGGGGGCGCCCGACTCCTGCGGCAGCAGCAGAGGCGCGCGGACGGTTTGGAGGGCCGGCCTGGCGGCGGGAGCGGCGGCGGGAGTGGCTGGCGGGAGCGGCGGGCGGCAGCAAACTGGGCGGCGGCGTGCTACACCGTGAGCCACTGCATCATCTTGGAGGGACGCTCCACGGTCATCTGCGTCGGAGGGGTGGCGTGGGCCACGCCCGCCCGGCGTCGGCATGGTGCAGCGGCAAGCTGCCGCAAGCCGTGGCGAGGCTGCTGTGGTGCGCAAGAAGACTTCGGGAGCGCTGCAGCCCGTATGGAGAGCGGCATGGCGGGCATAGGGCTTGAAAGCCTGCCCGCTCCCCAAACTCCTGGCTGGGCTGCAAAAGTGGGCTTATGAGGTGGTTTGAGAGACAATTTGGACCCGATCCGCCGCTTTAGAGAGCACCACTTCAGGATGGGGCGAAGCGCCAGGCAAGCAGCTGCCGCGCGGCGCATGCCGCCTCGGTTGCTGCCGCGGCCCTTGATGGCTCACCAGGCATGCCTGTCCCTTGGCGCTCTAGTGAACCAGCCACTCACTGACCACCAACCCTCCCACCCGCCAACAAACACGCATCGTCTCCAACCCTGGGGCCGCAGGGTCCGCCGCCGGCTCAAGGTCATGCACTGCAGCTAGGTAGAGCTGGAACACCTGGGGTTGGCGCAACGTCGCAGCATGCAGGCACTTAGTGCTGCGATGGAGAAGGAGCAGCAATGGCATGTGGAAACCAACCGAGTGCGCGGCCAGTGCGGGACCCCGCTTGGCGCCAGGGCTCCTCAGTTTCAGACTATTGGTTTGATTGGTACAAATCTCTGCTGGAACCCATGTCAGTAGATTTTCCTCATGTATCATTGAGCGCACATGTAACGCAGCCCAGCTGGCAGCAACGAACAAACCGCACTGCACGGCGCCGGCGCCCGCCACAATGGCGGCGCTACTGGGGAACCCCAGGAGCGCCGCAGCGCCATTGCGATCGAGGCATGCTGTTGCGACGGTCACCCTCCTGATTCTTGCGCAGCGCTTCTCACCTGCGATGGGCCAGGACGAGCCCACAGAGGATGACCTCCTGGAGCTGTTTCAGACACTCGATGTGGATAAGAATGGATCGCTGGACGTGCAAGAAATGCAGGTAAAGAGTGATAGCTGCCGACAGCGCTTGCCGGACGATCCGCCGAGACAAGGCAGGCTTCTCGACAGCCCTGTCTGAATTGGTGATCAGAGAGCGTCAGGGCAGAGACCGCGATGCACAGCAGCGAGAGGCAGCCGTGCTTTGAGACCCGCCGCCTCCTCCCCCCCATATGTCGCCGGTGCAGGCGGCCCTCCGGCAGCTGGGCCTGCCAGCCGGCGCCTCTTACATCTCTGACCTGCTGACCCAGTACGACAGGGACAAGAACCGGGAGGTCCAATTTTCGGAGTTCAAGAGGTGCGCCAACAAGTTCTCCGTCCCCACTAACCTTTTCAGCTCGCTCTTGCGCCGCCGCCCAGTGCCCTTTCTGAGCCTCGCTCGGCCCCTCCCGCCTGCAGCTACGTTCTGTCCAAGGAGAAGCGTATCCGGGCGGTGTACCGGGACATCGACAGCGACGGCGACGGGCAGCTGGATGCGGGGGAGGTGCACCGGGCGGCCACCGGTGCGCCAGCAGGCAGCCCGCCGCCCCACCTCGGAACACCTCATGCCGCCAGCCGCCGTGCCGCCACGCTGCGCCGCCACGCTGCGCCGCCATGCTGTGCCGGATTCTGCTGCCGGCACGCCGCCGCTGGTCGCCCTGGCACCTGCCCGGCCTGCCTTTCCGGCCGACGCCTTGCCGCTCCGCACCCTGCCGCCGCAGCGCTGGGGCTGAGCGTGGCGCCGGCTGAGGCGGAGAGGATGGTTGCGATGCTGGACAGCAACAAGGACGGTCGAATCAACTACGCAGAGTTCCGGCGCTTCGTGGTGCTGCTGCCCGGTAGGCGGCGGGGGGCCGGGCCGGGCACAGCGCTGCTTGCTCTGGCAGCTCTCGGAACGGCTGGCTTGCTGGTCGGTGGCGAGTGGGCTGGTGCTGGTGCCGGGGTAGGCTGTAGGTGGGCTGGCTGGCTGGCCGGCCGGAGGAGCTGGGCCGCGTGTGGTGCGTCTGCTCCGCGGCATGCACGCACTGAGCGACCGCCCGCGCTGCCGCCCGCTCCGCCGCCTTCTTCGCTCACACCTGCCCGCCCGCCCGCCTGCATGCGCCCCGCCGCCCTCCTCCTGCAGGCGCCCAGGTGCGGCACACCAACATCCTGTCGGCCTGGATCGACTCCGCCTCCTGGCTCACCAGTATGGAATACCGGCTGGGGCACGTGCCGCCCAGCCAGCCCCTGGTGAGGGCAGGGCCCGCCCAGCCAGCCAGCCACTGGTCAGCGCACGATTGGCCAGTGCCCGACTGCTTTGTTGGCACCGCAGTGCTTGGCTGCTGCCAGCCTGCGCATGTGTTGTTGGGGTGCTCTGCTCCGGAGCATGAGGCGTTGGTGCCTGCACCGCCTGCTGGGAGAGCCCTGAGGGTAAGTGCAGGGGAGGCCTCCCTCTGCAAGCGAGGCGCGGCACGCCGGCGCCCGCGCTGCCCCCGCAGGAGCGGCTGCTGGCCGGCGGCGTGGCGGGCGCGGTGTCGCGTACCGTGGTGGCGCCCCTGGAGCGGCTGCGCACCATCATGATGGCGGTGAGCTGTGGGGTGGCGGGGAGCGGGTGATTGGTTGTGGGATGATGGGGCACATGGACCGATGGTGGGGGGCACAGGCGTGCATGGCGGGGAGCCGTGGGGTGGTGGTGGCCTCCACTCGCCAAGAACTCAGATGAGCCGCGGTTTTTGGGGGAGCGGGTGATTGGTGGGGCACACAGGCGTGCATGGCGGGGATCGGGTGATTGGGAACCTCTGGAGGCGCACATGCCCCGCCACCCCTCGTGAGGCCCTCCCGGCCTTGTGGTGGCATGGAATGGGGCGGGGCCGCATGCCTGCCTTCAATCGTTCAACTTGCCTCCTGCTCCCACTGCCCCGCGTGCATGCGCCTGGCTGCCGCGCAGGACCCAAGCGCCACCCGCCTGGGCCCGGTGCTGCGCCGCATGTGGGCCGACGGCGGGCCCCGCGGCCTCTTCAGGGGCAACCTGGCCACGGTGGGTGGGTGGACGACACGTGGCGGTGGCGGTTGTGGGTGGGCGCGCATGGGCTGCCGCCGCCGCCGTTCGGTGCCCGCCGCATCGCCTATCTGTGGCTACTGTACTGCACTGGCCACCTTGGTTGGGCCTGCAAGTGTTTGCCATCTGTACCGGCAGCCTGCTGCAGCCTGCTGCAGCCTGCTGCCCCACCTTGGCCCCCTCCCCTGCAGGTCATGAAGGTCTTCCCTTCCAGCGCCATCCAGTTTGCGGTGAGGCAGGCCTGGGCCTGGGCTGCTCACTCCTTGCCGGCTGCCCGCAGCACCTACCCCCTTGCCCCAGGCCAGCCAGCCTGCGGCAGCACCGCCTGCGCGGTCCCACCATCCTCCGCCTCTGCTCACCAATGCCCTCCTGCCTGCCTCTGCCCCTGCCTCCGCCTCTGCCTCTACCCGGGGCGGATAATGCCTCTCATCTCCTGCCCCGTTCCTGCCCGTGGCTGTTTGCAGACGTATGATGCCTGCAAGGACGTCATGCTCCATTACAGCGGCCGGGGTGCGGCGCCGATGCCGCTGGCTGCACAGCGCTTAGCGTATCGCGGCCCTGTACTGCACCGGCGACAGACCACTGACGCACTGCACACTGCCCCTGCCCAGCCCACCCCCTCCCACCCTGAACACCACACACACACACACCAGCCCCTGCAGGAGCCGGCGACTTGAGCACTTACCAGAAGCTTCTGGCCGGGATGGTTGCCGGCGGGACGGCGTGCACCGCAACCTACCCCCTAGAAGCGCTCAGGCACGTGCTGTACCGCCAGCACCGTGCGGCTTTCTGCGCCACGCATTTGGCTTTGAGAGGTTTCTGCTGGCGGGCCCGGCGGCCCTGGCTCCCCAAGGCTGCTGCCAAACGTCGCCCCAGGCTGACTGCTGCCGCGCCCCACCCCCTCCCGCGGGCGTACTGCTGGGCGTACTGCAGAACCCAGGTCTCTGTGGCGCAGGGCAGAGCCGCCGGCGGGTATCTTGCCGCGCTGCGGGGCACGTGGGCAGGTGGGGGCAGCGGCGCCGCGGTGTGGCCAGCTCCGTGGCAGCCCCGTAGCCAGCCTGTGGCGTAGCCATGTGTGTGCAGGGTTCGCCTGCTATCCATCTCTCTGTTAGCAGTGTTGCCATGCCCTGCCTGCCTCTGCCCTTCTGCCTGTGCCCGTCTGCCTGCAGACCGGGGGCTGCAGGGGCTGTACCAGGGTTACACAGCGGGCTTAGCAAACAACTCCATTGCTATGGCTCTGGCCTTTGCCAGCTACGAGGTGGGGCCCCGGGACAGGTTGCCGTGCTGCCGCCAGTCAGGCCCCTGATTGATAGCAGCCACACATTCGGCCCGCCGCTTGCCTGCCGCCGAGGTGGTTTCTGGCGGCCCGCCCGCTGCACCAGCGTGGCGTCTCCCGACCCGCCTGCGCTCCCACCTGGTCTGCAGGCGCTGTGCACGGGCTATGCCCGCCTGCGCGGCGCGCAGCCATCGGCGGGCGAAAAGGGGATGCTGGGAGGCATGGCGGCGGTGGGCGTCATGGCAACCACGATGCCGCTAGAAAACGTGATGCGGCGGCTGCAGGTGCAGGGCCGGCCGGGCTTCCCCCGCCTCTACTCGGGGCCCCTGGACTGCGCTGCAAAGGTGGGCAGGGGTGGGCGGGGACCGTGCGTGGCGGGCTGCCGGGGATGGCTTGGTGGTGTGGCCGGGAGGCTAGCGGGCACCGGCGCGCTGGGCAGCGGCAAGCAAGCCAGACGGTGCGTCGTGCTCTGCCACAATCGCGGAACGACTCCTGGCCTGCCGCACTGCCTGCCTGGTGTGCAGATGCTGCGGCAGGAAGGCGTGGCCTCCCTGTGGCGCGGCAGCCTTGGGTCTTTTGCCAAAGTGGCGCCATCCATCGCCGCCACCAGGCGAGCGGCCTGCTTGCTGTGCCCCACTCAACCGACCGCCCCTCCGCCATGCCTCGCTCGCTCTACTCACCGGTCCCACGCCTCCACCTGCCCGTCTGCCTGCCTGCAGGCTGCTGTACGAATCCTTCGTGGAGCTCCGCGGCATCGGCGGCGTGCGGCGGTACCGTGTGGGAGAGTGAGAGCAGGCGGTACAGCGGTATTGCGCTGGCGTATCGGGAGGAGCCCTTTTCTGGAATGGGTGCCGCCTCAGCTCACTAGCAGTGACCTGTCCAGGACCCGCCCGCTGGCGTTATTCCTCCTTTCAGTTGACCGAATTGGACAACCTTGTTGCTGTTTACATGTGTCCCCAGCAAACACTTCAATTTTCAGTTGCGATGGCGGCGTGCTGGTATGAAACAGTGCTGATGCTCTCTCAATGCACACAGCTGCGGTCAATTGCGGTCAAGCAGGAGCAACGGGAGCGAAGGGCCTCGGCAAGTTTGTGGGAGAGTGGAAGGGGAGAAAGATGGCACAAAGAGAGAAATGGACAGGAAAAAACCGTGCGGGCAAGCGGCGGGTTGGGGCAGCCTGAATGCGTGTGTGAGCAGGAAAAAACAACAAAGGAGGGAGCAGAAGCGTGTGCAGGCGTGCAAATATGGGCATCGGGTCTCAAGGCGCGCCGCAGCGGGGCAGGCGTTCCGCGGCCGGGCAGGTCCAGCCAGCCTGCGCAGAGCGCGGCTCTCGCCAGGGCATCCCCAGCCGTGCGTGCGGCTGCTGCCGCCGCGGCGGCAAAAGGATGCTGCTCTTCCGCGGGCCGGGCTGCGGCTACCGCTCATGCGAGCGCTGGCAGTCTGGGCCTGGGCCAACGCGGCGCCAGCCTGGCACGCCAGCCTGGCACGCAGCATGGACCCCCAAACCCTCGCACGGCCTGCCTCAGCCCTGGTACTTGCGGAACAGGATGCAGCTGTTGTGGCCGCCAAAGCCGAAGCTGTTGGACAGGGCCACGCGGGTCGTGTCCCACTCCTGCTTCTCCTTGCCCACCACCACCCCCAGGTCCACCGCCTCCTCGGGGTGGTCCAGGTTCAGGTTGGGGTGCAGGTAGCCTGCGGGGAAGCCAGGGGGAAGCCAGGGTGGGGTGGGCAGGTGACGGCAAGTTGGATGGAATGCTTTGGGAGGTCGGGAGGAGCATTGGTAGGGTGGGGTTGGAGGTTTGGGGGGAGGTGGGGGGGTCCAGGCTGGGTGCAGGTGGGGTGGCTTTAAATGAGCACTCGACGGCGGCCGGCAGGGCAGCAGGCGGCACCACACGTGTACAAGGCCAGCCGGCGGAATCCCTCTTGCGCCGTCTGGAACAGCCACCCCTCCCAGCGCGACTGCAACCACCACATACCACCCACCACACACACGCACACCTTCACCCCGCCCCCAGCCACCCACCCGTGCGCAGCGCCTGGATGCTGGCCACCGCCTCCACCGCGCCTGCCGCGCCCAGCAGGTGCCCGATCATCGACTTGGTGGAGTTGATCTTGAGGTGCTTGTGGGGCAGGGCGGTGGTGATGGCTCGGTACTCGGCCATGTCCCCGGCGGGGGTGGAGGTGGCGTGGGCATTCACGTAGCCCACCTGCGTGTCAGGGCCGGGAGCAGGGAGGCGGCATGCATGTGTGAGGCAGGCCGGGCGCAAGGCAGGCATGGAGAGGCGAGGGGCAGGGGTGGAGGTTAGGGTTGTAGGGTGGGCGCGGCCGGAGGAGTCGGGGCGGCGGCTGGCCGGGCCGGGAGTGCCGCTGCAGCCGAGGCGCCGCGCTGCACCGGTGCCGCCGCCACCGCCAGCGCCAGCGCCAGCACGCTTCGCGCCGCACACACACACACACATCATGCACCCCACCCACCCCAGCCACAGCGCACACACACACACACACACACACACACACATCACACCCACCTCCTCGGGCGCCACCCCCGACCGCTCCAGCGCCTTTTCGATGCAGGAGATGACGCCTCGCCCGTTGGGCTCTGGCTCCGTCATGTGGTGCGCGTCGCAGGTGAAGGCGCCGCCCACAAACTCCGCCAGGATGGGCGCCCCCCGCGCCTTGGCGTGCTCCAGCTCCTCAAGCACCAGAACGCCTGCGGTGGTTGGAATACAGGGCGGCGGCGGGGGAGGCGCTCGTGGGGTGGGGTGGGGTGCGTGTGGGGTGGCGCCCAGCGCCCGGCGCGCCCCTCCACGCTGCACACACACGCACACACATGCCCACGCGCACACGCACCAACACACGCGCACGCGCACGCGCACACACCAAGCAAATGCACCAGCAAAACCGCACACACATGCACACACACGCACACTCACACATGCACACATGCACGCATGGCACCTACAGCGCCCCCCACCCCACCCCCACCCCCACCCACCCACCTGCGCCCTCCCCCATCACGAAGCCGTCGCGGTCTCGGTCCCATGGCCGGCTGGCCGCCGCGGGGTCCTCATTGCGCTTGGACAGCGCCTTGCATGCGATGAAGCCGCCGATGGCAGAGGGGATGACCACCGCCTCGGAGCCACCCGCCAGCATCAAGTCTGCCTCGCCGCGGCGGATGTGGTCGGCGGCGCTGCCGGGCGCAGGCGGGGAGGGTGGAAGGGTGAGCGGGCGAGGCAGGGCGAGAGTGGGGCAGCAGGGCAGGGGCGAGACGGAGGGCTGGCGTGTGGCTGCCGCTGGGCGGCACGCCAAGCATATTGAGGAGCAGCAGCGTGGGGACGCCCATGCATCTAGCATCCAGCAGCGGCAGCTCGGCGGCCCTGCGGTCCCCGCCGCTGCCGCCGCCCCTGCGCACCCCCAGCACCAGCCCCACCTGAGGATACAATAGTTGCCTGTGGCGCAGGCGGTGGCTATCGGGTAGTTGGGGCCCATGAACCCAAGGTCCATCGCCAGCATCGCACCCCCCATGTTTTGGATGGCAAAAGGGATGCAGAAAGGGTTCATCTTCTTGAAGCTCTTCTGCAGCGACTCCACCGCGGTGGCAAAGGTCTGCATGCCGCCCATGGCGGTGCCTGCGGGCGCAGGCGGGGCGTGGGGGCAGCAAGGGGGCGGCAAAAGTCAGTGGCGGAAGCAGGCGGAGGAGGCGGCGGGTTTGAGGTTGGGAGCTCCAGGTGGGAACAACCCAGAGAGGAGCAAGACGAAGCACAGAAGGCTCAGCGGGGGCGCAGCCTGGCCTCCCCAGCACCGGCAGCTGGCCGCCCAGGCGCTCCCCAGCACGCCGCAGCTCGAGGCCCAGCATGCCTAGCTGCAGCGGCGGCAGCCGACACACGGCTGGCCGCGCCCTAACGAGCGAGCGCACTTACAACCCCACGCCACCCACGCCAGCAGGCAGGCGGTGCACCTATCAAGATGCCGCAGCGCTGTCGGTTGAGGTCCTGCAACTCGGGGCCCTCCCAAGGCAGCCCCGCATCCTCCAGCGCTTTCTTCCCCGCAAAGATCATGTACCTAATGGTTGGGGGAGGCCAGGGGGGTGGGGCACGCAGGGGCAAGCGTGGTTGGGAGGCAGCCAGGGGCAGCGGGGCAGAGGCAGCGCTGCGCGCCTCGACGCAAGTGCAGGCCCCTGCAGCAGATCGTCGCGCGCAGCGCGGCGTGCGCAGCATGCATGGGACCGGCACAGCCAGGATGAGGCCGCCGCCCAGGCGCAGCGATGAGGGAGGTCGGGAGGAGAGAGGCAAGGAGGCAAGGCGGGAGGAAAGGAGGAAAGGAGGAAGAAAGGAGATGCTGCCGCCGCTCACTCACTTCATGGTCACATCTATCCTCTTCTCCCACTTCTTCAGCACATACCCCTCGCAGTCCAGGCTCTTCACCTGCCCCGCAAACCGCGTGCTGAAGTCCTCTGCAGCGGCAGCGGTGGGCAGGGCGGCGGCGGGCACGTCACCAGGCAGGACGGGCAGGCCAGGCGGGCCGCGGGTGACGGCTTGCAGGACCAAGAAGGGCACGCACGGCTGCCAGGACGCGCAGGTGCAGGGGAGGTGTCCGCCTCCAGCAGCGACCCACAGCAGGCGGCCGCCCAGAGGGCAGGTGGGTGCACACACTGCCATCCTCGGCCCCACCGCCCACCTGTGTCCCAGCCCTCGATCATGCTGATACCGCTCCTGCCCGCTAGCAGGTTCATGTAGAATTCTTCGGGGCTGTGCCCCAGGCTGCTGACCACGCCCTGGCCCGTCACCACGACGCGGCGCGGCGGGGCGTCGGCCGCAGCCGCCGCCGCCGCCACGTGCCGCCGCCGCCGCGGGAGGCGTGCTGCTGGCCGCAGGGCCGCTGCGCAGGGCGTGGGATGGGAGCAGGGACACATAGCACAGTCGGCAGCAGCGAACTGGTGCCAGGTTGCACCTGGGCCAGCGTTCCGACAATCAGCACGCCGGCCGTAGCGGCTTGGCGAAAGCGTCCGGCAGCACCCCGCACCTGTGCTAGCTGCGCTCTGCCTGCCGCCGATCGCGCTGGGCTGCTGCAATGCCCCACACTGCATCACGGCTTGCTGCAGGCTCATTCTGGCAGAGAACCGCCGAGTGGGTGACGCCCTTGGTGCCGGCTCTATCGGCCTGGATGACTTCCAGGAGCCTGGACGGGCCTGGAAAGACAATTCAGACGCCCGGGAAACGCTGGGACGGGGGTCGGGTGCAGGTGCTGCAGCCACCTCGAGCTCTGCGCTGGGCGGGGGCTTCCAAAGCGGTGACCAGTTTCGATCGCACAATGTGGCACGGTCACGAGCTCCGATGACGCTCTGATGCCCAGGAGACTGTCGCTGCCCGGGTCTCATCCTGGCGGAGGAAACTGCGAGCGGGCCGATTGATGAGGACGGCCCGCAACCCCATCTCGCCATTTTTACAACAAAGAAGCCGCCCTGGATTGCTTGCAGCCCGCCATCGCCGCGCTTCCTGTTTCACACATGTCGCCCTCCGCCAGGGGAGTGTCGTTCACCAGGGGTCCCAGAAACGCGGCAGCAGCGGCTCCCGACTTTCGGCAGCTACACAGTTGCCGGCCAGCAGCCGCACTGCCGCGGCGGCGGCATGGCACCGCCGCCGCCGCCGCCACCCCGCAGTCTGGCAGCGGCAGCACATCAAAAGAGGCAGCCGTCACCAAGGACTATCTATCGTGGGCCACAGAGGCGGGTAGGTGGACACGCACAGGCTGGCCTCAGCCAGCATGCTGTTGTGGGGCCAGCTGTGAGCAGCAGCGAGGGAACAGGCCGTGCGTCGTGCAGCACGTGTCTGGCCTTGCCAAGCTGCTCCGGATAGAGAGGGCCCCACACCCACCTCCCATGTGCCTGCCGCCACCACCACCTGCAGGCATCCTGTCGCCCAAGCTCATGCAGGCCTATTTTGGAGGGCTGCGGGGCGGACAGGCGCTGAGTGACATTGCCGCCGACGAGGTGTTTGTGACGGTGCCGCGTGGCGCGGCGTTGGTGGTGGCTCCAAACGAGCGCTGCCCCTGCCCCGACTTTGTTGACCCAGGTCAGCAGGGTGTGAAGGTTGCCGTGTGTGCAGCAGGGAGGTGTGCATGTGTGCGTGTTTGTCGTGTGTGGTGTGTAAGGACGGGCGAGCGGAGCAGGCAATTCGTGCGGTTCCGCCTTCGCGCACCGCCACACCTGCCTGCCCGCCTGCACGCCTGCAGGTTTCTACAAGGAAGCGCCCTGGTTTGTGAAGATGGCGGTGCTGCTGCTGTGGGAGCGGCGCAAGGGGCGGGGCAGCTCGGTGTGGGGGTACATAGAGCAGCTGCCCAGCAGCATCGACACGCCCGTGCGCTGGGAGGAAGCCGACCTGGCGGAGCTGCAGTACCAGCCTGCCATCAAAGAGGTACCGCCACACTGTTCTGACTGGCTGCCGCTGACGGGGAGCGTTGACGTGATACAGATGGGCAGCGGCAGCCTGCATTGCATGCGCTGTGCGCTGCCAGACCCCGGGCGGAGCCTGCCATGCCCCACACACCCTGCCAAAACTCATTTGCCGCTCCGCCCGCAGATCAAGCAGCAGCAGACGGCGTGGCGGCAGCAGTACAACCGCTTCTGTGCGGCGGTACGACCTGGGCAAGGCAACTACAGCTGGGACAACTTCCTCTGGGCGGCCGAAAACGTTCGCAGCCGAGCCTTCAGCGGCCCCTACACAGGCAGCTCAGGTATGCCTAGTGCCTGCTTATGGCGAGCGGCGAGCGCGGTGTTGTGGTAGGGCAGGTGTGTGTGGTGTGGCCTGTTGTGGCGGCGGATGTGAGCCCCACCCCGGAGCACCGCACCTCAACACTGCACACGTGCCACGTCCTCGCCGGTGCCTGCAGTGGGGGAGAAGGCTCGCACGCTGGGCCTGCTGCTGGCGGCGGGCGGCGGCTACGCGGCCTGGCAGCAGCTGCCGCTGGAGCAGGTGCTCAACGGCTTCATCTCGGTGCTGCTCTTCAACATCATCTACGATGTGCTGATCAGGTGGGAGCGTCACACCAAACCTCAACAGCTCGCCAACTAGAACGTGTGTTTCTAGTTGGCGAAACGTGTGTTCTAGAGCGAAACGTGTGGCCAGAGCATTTGAGCTGGACAGGCGCTGCGCTGCCGTGCAAGCCACCCGAGGGTCCCACCCCGCCCTCCCCGCCTCACCCGCCCTGCCCCTCTTGTTCATGCGGGAGTGCAGCAAGAAGCTGAAGTGGTATGCGCTGTGCCCCGTGGTGGACGCCCTCAACCACAGCAGCCTGGTCGAGGTGCGCCTGCTGCAGCGCCGCCGCGGTGCCACAAGCTGCCACTGCTGCCGCTGCTGCCGCTCTGCTGCAGTGTGCAAGGGGACCGCGGGTGATTGACGGTGAGCGCCACTTCCCAGCCACCCCGCTCACTCTCCGCTTCCCCGACCCGCCACAGTCGCCTTGCTCCCTGCTCCTCCACCTGGTGTGCAGTCTGATGTGGCGTACGAATACTTCAAAGATACCTTTGTGCTTTCCACCAAGTCTGCGTACAAGGCAGGGCAGCAGGTGGGCGGCGGCCCGGGCATCCCGCCCAACACACTTGATGGCGCGACCGCCGCGGGGGCTGCCTGCCGTGTGCCGGTCGCGCCTCGCAACGAATGGCTCGGCACGCGGAGCAGTCAAAACGCGTGGCCACACACCTCACCCTGCCTTGCCCCACCCCGCCCCGCCGTGCCCCGCACGCACCGCAGGTGTTCATCTCCTATGGAGCTCAGGCCAACGGCTCGCTGCTGCAGTACTACGCCTTCACAGAGCCAGGCAACCCCAACGATGTGTATGCCTGGGAGGCGAGCCTCGCGGGGCAGCCGGTGCAGGTGCGGCAGCGCGCAGGGGCCGGGGGTTGGCGCCCTGGGGCTGCTGCCGCGCCGCAGAGCGGGCTTTGGTGGTGGCGGGGCGGGGTCGTGGGCAGCCGTCTGCACCCTACCAAAAAACTCGCTGTGTAACTTTCGGCCCTGCTTCTTGCGTGCTGCAGCTAGTGGTGAACGCCAGGGGCAGCTTCACTGCAGAGTGCCAGCAGGCGGCGCGGGTGGCGCTGGGGAGCGGCGGCGCCAGCGATGCGCAGCTGCGGCAGGCGCTGCTGGCGGCGGCAGAGGCGGAGCTCGCCAGCAAGCCCAGCAGCGCGGCAGACGACGAGCGGCTGCTGCAGGTGTGGGCAGGCGGCAAGCGAGCCTGCCGCTGCCTGTGTGCCAGTACCCTGCCTGGAAGATTGTGCCTGCGGGTCTGCCTCTGACAGCCAGCCACCCGCCGCCGCGGCACCTTCCCTCTTCTCCCCACCTATCGCAGACCTCGCACCTGATGGCGCCGCGGCAGCGGGCAGCGGTGGAGTTCCGACTAGAGAAGAAGAGGGTTCTGGAGCGGGCGGTTGCCAAGAGCAGGAAGCGGCTCAGCAAGCGGGCGGCGGCGCCCGCGGCGTGACCCACTGGCCGGCGGCGGCGGCGGCCGGCATCTTCTGCTGAGCGTGTGTGCCAGGGCAGGGGAGCGCCGGATGATATCCCGCAGGAGAGAGCCAGCCTGTCGGAGGCACCTGTTCGCATGGATTGCATTGTAAGCGGTGCAAGCCCTGAATGCCACCAGACCTTCTTGCACAATGTAAGGGCTCCATTGCCGGGTCGAAGCAGCTGGAGCCAGCAGCTGTGGTGGCAGCCAGCAGTCCAGCGGGAGACAATGCTGCTGGCACTGGGCGTACAGCTGGGAAGCTCCATACCTTTCAACGGCTCCCACTGCATGCTGGCTGTGGGCATCTTGCCAAGGCAATCTGAAGAAGTGCAGCGGCTGCCGCATGGCGGCCTCCTGCAACCGGCTGTGCCAAGTGCAGCACTGGAAGCAGGGCGTGCACAAGCACTGCTCAGCAGGCGCAGCTGGCGACAGGCAGCGGTACCGCCGGCAGCTGCGGCGGCAGGATGCGACGAGCTGTGGCGAGCTGCGGCTTTACAGTGTGCGGCAGGGTGGGGGGAGGAGAAGACAGGGAGCAGAGAATGGCATGGGAACATTGACAGTACGACGGAGGGCTCTATGTGGCGCAACATGGAATCGGGCTGGATATGACATGGACGTCGCAGTGGCAAGTGCAATACACTTGACAAAGCAGCACTAAAGGCTAGGCAACCTACAAATCACTGTGTGCAATGCGACATGAAACAAGACATGCATGGGGCAGAGGAATAGGGAAGAGGCCAAAAGGACGGGACACGAGACAATTCAAAGGAATAGCTTATCAAAAGAGCGTTTGATGGATCGGCGGCAGGAGGCGCAGCGCGGGCGATAATCAGGGGCTATAGTACAGCCGAAGGCATTCATTGGATCAGATCGTTCACAAAAGGAGCAGAGGGCGGGGTTCGGGGGCAAATGAATCAGATCTTGGAAAGAGAGGGCGCGCAAGTTTGGGCTGCTAGGACAGGCGTCAGTCGGCTGGTTTCGTTTGGTTCAGTCGGGTGGTCGCTACGAGCGAGTTCACGCGGGGTTGTTCAATTGGCTGGTTGGTTCGACGCTACAGTGTGTAGGCTCCCAGCAAGGGTGTCACTCGTTCCACCAGGGGGACAGCAGGAAGGAGAGGGCCTCCGGCAGGCGCCAGGCCCATGCAGACTCATGGTGTCCCGCATCCGGCTGCACGATGAAGCGCAGGCGCTGGCTGCCACGCATGCCGCCCGCCTCCAGCGCGCGGGCAGCGTCCCGGTAGTAGTGCAGGAGCAGGCTGTCGATCTCCTGCCTGCGGCACGTGGGGCAGGGGCAAGGGGCACGGGACAGCTTGGCGGGACGGGCGCCATGGGTGCATCGCAGGCAGCGGGGGTGGGGCCGGGCGCCAGCCCGCCACGCCCCGCAGCCTCCCTCCTGCGCGCCGGCTGACCAGCCCCATCCGTGCTGCGCCCGCCTCCCCACCCCCATCCCCAGCCAGCCAGCCAGCCAGCCAGCCAGCCCCAGAGGCGCACCTGGCAAACTCTCGTGTTGCGGAGTACTCTCGCGTGCCGCAGCCCATGAAGAGTCGCTCGGGCAGGGGGCCCTTGTGGGCCCACAGGTCTTGCAGGAAGCGGCCCTCGGCGATCCACAGCGAGGGGCTCTCCACCAGCACAGACCCAAAGACGTGCGGGTAGTGGAGGGCGGCGTAGAGCGCGGTGACGCCTGCGGTGCCGGAGGGGGCGGGACGGCGGCGACGTGTGCGACGGCCACGTGCGGGCGCGGCCGCAAGCTGGGCCGGCTGGCTGTGCCGGCAGCCCTGGCACGGCACAGCACAGAGCACCACCATGTAAGGTACGCCTGGAGCGCAGCACACACGGTACAGCACCACACCACACGACACCATGCCGCACCGCACAGCGCCGCTACCACATCGCACCGCGCACCTGCAAAGGAGCCGCCGCCAAAGGCCACCCGCGCGGGGTCGGTGGCGGTGCCGAAGCTGGAGCAGACCAGCGGCATGATCTCCTGCACCAGGCGCTGCATGTAGCCCTCGCAGCCGCCGCCCGGCCAGCGCTCGGCGTCGGGACGGAAGCCGCCCGCGCCGGTGCCTGCGCCAGGTCAGATGGGGGGGGGGCTTGGAGGGTTCAGGGGTGGCATGGCATGGCTTGATGCAGTGTGCCATGGTGGGTGCATGCAGGAGCAGAGTGCGGGCTGGCAGGAGGCAGGCGCACGCCGCAGGCGCGTGCCGCCCAGCCAGCGCCCAGCTCCGCCTGCGAGCGGCCTGACCAGCAGCCGCCTCCTGGCGCACCTGGCTTGTAGGGGAGGTAATTGAGGGAGCGCATGGGGCCTGCGCTGTCCACGGCCACCACCACAAACGGCGGCACCACCTTGCCGCCGATAAGGTGAGCCGCGGCCTCGCCGACGCGCCAGGCCGTGCCCTGAAAGAGACGGGCGGGGAGGAGGGCAGGTGCCGGGCAGCGGCGGGGGCGACACGGGAAGCTCAGCAGCAGCCCGGAAGCAGCAGAGCCAGCACTCCCGCCGCAGGCATGACCAGCGGGCCGCCCGCCCAGTGTCTCGCCAGGGTCTCGCCACCCTCCCAGCACACACACACACACACACGCGCGCGCGCGCATACACTCCACCCCACACACCTGGTGCGCCAGCCAGTCCTCAAACATATTCTGTCCGTCGCACATGAACAGCACCGGCCAGCCGCCGTGCGGCGCGCTTTCCACGCTGAAGCCGGGCGGCGTCCACACGCGCAGCACCTTCTCCTCTTTCCACCTGCGGGGAGGGGCGGGGAGCGAGGTGGGGGTGGAGGTAGAGGTGGAGGCGGGGGGTCAGACGTGAAAGGTGGTGGGTGGTGGGGAGGCTGGCAGGCAGCAAGGCTGGATAGGGGGCTGACTCTTGTCGCAGCTGGGCTGGGTGCGCCGGAGAGGTGGAGCGGAGGGGCGGAGGTGCCAGCTGCGCAGCCACCGGCCGCCTGCCTGACACCTCGCCCAGCCAGGCGCCAGCCCGCCACCCTCCACCCAGCTCACTTGCTCTCCCGGCTGGCCTGGTTGGTCACGGCGCGCTTGGAGAGGCGGATGACGTGCAGCGTGCCGCCAGCATGGTCTACAGCCTGCAGGTGGCGGGAGGGAAGAAAGGTGTGAACCCATCAGCCTGCCGCGGCATGGCAAGAGCGCTTGGCCCTTCATCCACGCCACACTCAGGCCTTCCGCGCTGCTCCTGGGCCCAATAAGAGCCTGGCCGGGGCCACGGGGCACCTCATGAAGCTTCCGGACAGCAGGACTGAGCACCCCCCAATAGAGCCGCCGCTCAAAGCCCTGCATCCGCTCCCAGCCCCGCATGCCTCCCCTGCCTCCCACCCCCTGCAGCTCCACACAGGCGGCAGAGCAGCACCTGGGCAGGCAGCCAACACCCAGTCCGGCCCAGCCCCGACTCACGTCAGAGTGCTCGATGGTGCGAGGTGGTGCATCTGCTGCCACCTCCTGCGGCCGCCACACGGGAACATCATAGTTGTGGCCCTCATTGTTCTCCCACTTGCCCTGGCTGTCGGTGAAGGCAAAGGACATGTCGAAGGCCTCCTCCGGCACCTGCAGAGGCGGTGCAGAGGGAGGAAAGAAGCAAGGAAGGAAGGAAGGAGAAAGGACGGCAGCGAGTGGGTGGCAGGCGTTGCGTCGGGGCAGGGCCACGCCGGGCAGAGAACGGAGGGAGGCGAATGGCATGCGGCGGGCCTTGGGTTGCCTGCAGGGCGGCTCGGCCGGCACTAGGGCGGCAGCAGCCCCCCTCCTCCCTTTTTTGTTTCATTTTGTTTTTGTTTCATTTGTTTATTGGCTCACCGTGAAGGGCTTGGTGGCCCACCAGTCCACGCCGTCGCCCTGCCACAGCTCGGCGGGGGCCAGGCCCAGGTCTGCGGTGTCCAGATCCCAGTGGTTGAAACCCAGGCGCACCTGCAGCAGCGGTGGGGAGGGAGGGAGGGAGGGAGGCAGGCAGGCAGAGCGAGTGAGTGAGGGAGAGAGTGTGCGGTGTGCGTGTGGTTTCTGTCGGGGGCAGTGGGGGAGGGCAGGTCCAGCGCAGCGCAGCGCGACTGCAGCGAAGCAGGCGCAGCACAGGTCCAGGCCTGCATGATCTGCAGCGCCGGGCAGCGCCCCGCTGCCGCCCCCGCCCCTGCCACCCCACACGTGTATGGGGCATCACACTGCCGCCAGCTCCGCCGCCCCGCACGCACCAGGGCCCCCTGCACCGCCCCGCAGCCCACCTTAACGTTGGGGTTGGTGCGCAGCGCGGAGCGGGCACGGTTGAAGTACAGCACGCCCGGGGCGCCCGCCACCAGCACCTCTGGCGAGGTGAAGAAGAGCTTGGGGGCGGAGCGGGAGGCGGCTTCGTCGGCGGGGCCCTCGGCCGCCGCCCGTGCCGCCGCCCGCACCTCCTCGGGAGATTGGCCCGCGGTCAGGCCGCTGGGGGGCAGCTTCACGCGGAGGTAGAAGTCACAGCCTGCACGGCGCACAGGAGGAGGAGACGGGCGGCGGGCGCCGGCGCCTCAGCCTGGTGTGTGGCATGCTGGGCATGCTGGGCCCGCCGGGCATGCCAGGCCACAGCAAGGCAGGGTGCAGAACCGCAGCGTGGCATGATGGAAGGGCCGGCCGGCCGGCCGAGGCAGCAGGCCCAGGTGCCGGGCAGGCAGGCCGGCTACCGGCCAGCCCCCAGCCGAGGCTGCCAGGCCTGGGCGCACCGCCTGCCCAGGTGCCGCGCCCGCGCCCACCTGCGTTGTTGTCCCACGCGCCGCGCCCGTCTGTCAGCACAAAGTTCATCTCGTAGGCCTTGTCTGGAACAGTGAAGGTGACAGCCTGCCAGGTGGGCTCCTGCTGTGCCTGCTCCTCCACAGGGGCTGGTGCTGGCACTGCTGCCGCCGCTGCCGCGGGCCCAGAGCCCCCTGCCGCGGCGTCACTGGCCGCGCCTGCCTCCGCCTCGACCGCAGCTGCCTCCTCCTCGGCGGCGGCGGCGGCGGCCTCAGCCGCCCCGCCGCCGCCACCACTGCCAAAAAAAGAGGCCGCCTGCGTCTGCCCTGCCCCCGCCTGCTGCTCTCCCTCCTCCTCCTCCTCCTCCTCCTCCTCCTCCTCCTCCTCCTCTGCCTGCTGCGCCTCGGGCGGCGGCTGGGCCTGGGGCGCCTCCAGCTGCGGCGCGGGCTCCAGCTCCCGCTCCGACAGCCCCAGGCCCCAGTTGTTGAACCCCATGCGTGTGCGCAGCCGCGCGGTGCACCCGGCCAGCACGTGGCTCACAGCTTTGTTGACAAACAGCACCGCAGGCTGGCCCGCGCTGAGCCTGCTGGGGCTGGTGAAGAATAGGTCGCCCGCGTGGCGCTGCGCGGCATCCGCCCACCAGGGCTGCAGCAGGAATTCCAGCGCGCCGGGCAGGCGCTGCGCCCAGGCGGCCTCGGTGTGGGCGGCCTGCAGGCCGATCTGAAGGAAGGAAGCGGGGCCGGGCGGGGCGCGGGCGGCGGCGCCGGGGGCGAGGCAGGGTGAGGCTCGCGGTGGTGTGGTTGGGTTGCGTGGCAAGGATGTGGCAGCGACAGGCAGGCCAGCGGCGGCGGAGGAGGAGGCAGGCAGGGGGAGCTGCGTGGCAAAGAGCGCATGCGTGGTGCGTGCAAGCCAAGGCCTCCCATGTGGGCCAGGCTGCGGCTGGCTGGCTGGCGAAGCCTGGCGGCCGTGCGCTCACCTGCCAGTGCAGGCGGGAGGCGCCCAGTCCGCGCCGCCGCAGCAGGCGCGCCAGGCGGACGCAGTACGACACCAGCAGTCGGTCCCACTGGCGGGTGGCGGGCTCCTTGGGGCGCGTGCCGCCGTACTCTCGGCTGCCCATGCCCAAGAACATGCGCTGCGGCCAGGGGCCCTCATACCTCTCGAGGTCCTCTCTGGGGAGGGGGGGGGGAGGGGGGGGAGGCAGCTTGGCGCGACGCATGTAGTGGTGCACGGCGAAGGGCGAGGTGAGGGGCGAGGTGTGGCGCGGCGCGGCGCGGGTGGCGGAGCACGACGCAGGACAAGCAAGGGCACGCAGCCCGGGCCGCGCCCCGCAGCCCTGGCCCCCACAGCCCAACGACCATTCCTTTAATACAGCTACTGTCCAAAAGGTCAGAGGGTAAACTGTCCCGGCACGGCCCGGCGACCCACCCGCCCGCCCCCCACAGCCCACTCCAGTTATAATCTAAAGATCAGAGGGTAGCCTGTCTCGGCCCTACCCTTACACTCACCTCAGGAACTTCTCGTCTGCAAACCAGAGGGAGGGCGACTCCACGAGGGCGGCGCCGAAGCGGTGTCCGTGGTGCATGCAGGCGTACAGGGTGCAGACGCCGCCAAAGGAGGAGCCGCCAAAGGCGATGCGGTCGGGCGAGGTGGCGGCGCCGTACTGCTCCTGTACCCAGGGCAGTACCTCGTCAAAGACCTGGGTCAGGTAGGCAGCCACGCCGCCGCCGGGCCACTGCGCCGCATCTTTGCGGAAGCCGCCTGCGGGCGCAGGACGGGGCAGGGGAGGGGAGGGGAGGACGGGTGTGGGGCGGGCCGGGGCTGGGGCCGGGGCCGCGGGCGGGGGTTTGGGTACAGGCGTGGGAGCAGGAGGGCAGGCAGAGGGCAGAGCAGACGCGCTGTGCAGAGGAGCAGAGCAGAGGGCCGCCATGCTCGACCTCAGGCAGCAGCCAGGCGGGCAGCCAATAGCATGCACCGAGCGCTGCGCTGCGCTGCGCTGACTGCGCTGTGCTATGCTGCGCCGCGCTGCGCCCCAAGCCATGCGCCCACCTGGCCCCGTGCCGGGCGTGTACGGCAGGTACTCCAGGCTGCGGTCGGGCCCAGCGTGGTCGATACCCGCCACCAGGAAGGGCGGCAGGCGGCCAGAGGTGATGGCGGCGGCCGCCGCCTCGCCCGCGCGCCACGACGCCCCGCTGAAAGACAGCTTATCCTCAAATAAGTTCTGCCCATCGTTCAGCAGCAGCAGCGGGTAGGGGTGGCGGGCGGCCTCGGCGCGGCTGTAGCCTGCGGGGGCGCGGCGGCGGGAGCGGCGGCGCGGGCCAGGCGGCGTGGGCCGGGGATCGCCCGCTGGAGCTGCTGGGGTCAACCGCTGGGGCTGCCGGGGCAACATGCAGCAGAGCATGCTCCCACAGAGAGAAAGCGCGCCATGGCGGCACATGCTGGGCTGAGCAGGGACAGGGGAGAAGAGCCCCGGGCCGCAGCCACAGGCCACATTCCATGTGTCATCACACAGGGAACAAAGAGGGCAGCGCGGGGCGGCGAGGGGCCGGTGTCCACACCTGGCGGCGTCCACACACGCAGCATGCGGTCCCCTTCCAGCACCACAACATGAAGCATGCCGCCAGCCAGCGCCACTTTCTTCACAAGAGTGTACGGCTCCCGTGGCAGCTCCGGCTCCTGGGCTGCAGCAGCCGCAGCAGCCTCCGCCGCCGCCTCCTCCGCTGCTGCCGCCTCCTCCCGTCTGCCTGGCGCCGCCTTCTGGCGCGCAGCTGCCGCGGCAGCTGCTTCTGCCTCGTGTGCCTGGGCGGCGGCCGCAGCAGCCTGCTCTGCCTGCTTGGCCGCCGCAGCAGCCTGCTCCGCCTCCTTGGCTGCCGCCGCAACCTCTTCCGCCTCCTTGGCTGCCGCTGCGGCGGCCTCCTCTGCCTGCTTGGCCGCCTCGGCAGCCTCCTTGGCCTGCTTGGCTGCCGCCGAAGCGGCCTCCACAGCCTTTGTGGCTGCGGCGGCCGCCTCCTTTGCCTGCTCAGCCGCGGCAGCGGCCTTTGCCTTTGCCTGCTGAGCCGCAGCCGCCGCCGCCTCCTCAGCCGCCTCCGCTGCCGCCGCCTCCCGTGCTTGCTCTGCCGCTGCCGCAGCAGCCGCCTGCGCGGCGAGGGCAGCCTCCTCCTCGGCGGCAGCGTCGGCAGCGGCCTTGGCAGGTGTGGCAGCATCGGGGCTGGGTTTAAGGGCGGCTGGCTGGCTGCCCACCGCCTGCTCCTGCTGCTGCTCCATGATTGCAAGGTACAGCTGGATGTACAAGTCCGGCCGCACATGCGCAGCCTTGCCGGCCGCGCCATTCCCGGAGGCCTGATGCGCGGCGGCCGGCTGCTGTTCGGCCTTCGCGCCGGCGGCACCATTCAGCAGCGCAGCCTTGCCATTGCCGCTGGGCATCTGGGGTATCGTCGGCACGCCGCCGTTGGAGCCGGCCGGCGGGCCGGGCCGCAGCTTAGTCAGCGTGCTGGCCCTGCCGTTCGTGACGGGCTGCGCCTTGGCTGGTGCGCTACTGCCGTTCTGCACCACCACCATCTGGACGGTTGCGCCGTTGCCGTTGCCGTTGCCGTTGCAGTTGTGAAGGTGCACAGCTCCGTTGCTGTGTGCTGCATTGCCGTGTGCGCCGTTGCTGCCGTTGCTGGCGGTGCTGGAATTGCTAGTGGGGGCCTCTGCCTGTGCTGGTGCGGTGCTGCTTGGGCCAGGCAGGTCGCATCTGGGGGAGGAAAAGGTGCGGCGGCGCCCAACACGTACCCTGCATTGGTCAACAGGAGGTGCAGCCAGGAGCGGTCAACGCAGCGAATCGGCGCCCTAGCACGCTCGCCGCAGCGCCAGCTTGCGCTGAGAAGCGTGCCAGGCAACAGCCAGGCGGCCCGAGCGGGCGCTGTGGTTCTGCCGTGAGCGATGCACAGTGTGGCTTCACCGACTGGCACCAAAGTGCGGCCCTTGCGCGGCAGCAGCGGCGCCCCAGCGGGCGGCGGCGAGGAGGGGGCCTCAACCAAATCAACATAAAATCCTCACACCCCATTTCACGGCCGCACCCTACCCCAAATCCTGATCCGAAGGCGCAGCGCAGCGCGCGGCGGCCCACCTGGGAGCAAGACTGGTGGACTGGGGATGGGGATGCAGCCTCGCGGCACCACCAAGCGGATGCGGCATAGCGCCCGGGTTTCCTCAGCCCTGCATCCCCCCACCAATCAACGAAGGCTCGGCGGGGCTGCGGGGCCGCCCTCCAGCATCTTTCGAATCGCTGCCACGCAGGCCAGGCAGCCCCAACATGCGCCAGCGCTGGGAGTGTCGCCAGTACAAGCCCTCCCCCTCTCCCTGCTTGCCCTGCCCAGCCCCTCTGATTTGGCAGGTGTTACAGGGAGGGAAAAGAACGGGTCCAGCTCATGGGCACATCATGCATTGCATTCTGACATTGAAGGCACACATGCCGCCAGCCGCGGGGAGGGCAAGCTGTAGCCCCAACCGGGCTGGGCAGCAATGAAATCACTGCAACGACAGCAGAGCATTGCAATGTCCAGAGAAGGCGGAGGGAGGTCCTGAGTGTTGCCTGGGGCGCGGCGCCCGGCCGGCGGCGGCATGGACTGTCGACCCAGGTCATGGGTGGAAAGCACCGCGCCGCCGCACAGCCGAGCGGGCCCTGGGGAGGGCCAGCGCTCGCCCGCACGGCCGCAGCAGACAGGGCGCAGGGTTGTCACGGGCGCTCAGGGGTGGCAGAACAGGCAAATGCGCGACAGCAAACAACGGTGGCCGGCCAGGAATCAAAGGGACCAGGCTGGGGCAGGTAGGTGTAGTGCGTTAGGGCGTGAGGCGTGTAATGTGCATGCATGGATGGCGCCCTACGGCGGGCTGATGGGACTGTAGGCGCGGTCTGAAGGAAGGGTTTTGGTTTTGCACCGCAGCGGGTGGCCCCGCTGCGCCGCTCAACTGAAAAGGCGCGAGCAGGCCTCGCAGCCGCACCCCCACCCGGAATGCCGGCCGGGCGGCGGCGGCGCCGCGCGCGCCACGCGGGCGCGCGCCAGGCTGGCGCCAGGCTGGCACCCCTGCTCAGTGCACCTTGACCAGGGAGGCGCGCTGCAGCATGGCTGCGTTGGGCACCATGCGGCTGCCCACGCCGGGCACGCCGCCGGTCTGGTAACCGCCGTGCGACACGCGAGACATGGAGGCGCGGGTGGCGGAGACGCGAGACATGGACATCTGCCGGGGAGGAGGAGCAGCGGGGGAGGCAGGCAGGGGTGAGGGAGGGGTGAGGCGGGCAGCGCTGGGGTGGAGCAGAGGAGAAGGTGGGGGCGCGCAGGCCGGGGAGCGGCCCTGCGCTGCCACCGTTGTGTGGTGCCCGCAACCCGCCCCGCCCATGCTGGGCCAGCTGCAAAAGGGGCTCGGCCCCCGCCAGCACGCCGCTCCAACCACGCACATAGCACAGGGCTGGCACGGGGCACGGGGCACAGTGGACAGGGGCAGGCACAGGTCCCAGAGCCCAGAGCGAGCATTGGGCCTGGAGCCCAGAGCACAAGGAGGGAGCAGGCGGCGCGCACCTTGTTGACGCCGATGTTGGCGGCGGCGCCCATGTGCTCGCCGCGGGAGCGGAAGATGTTGTTGAACATGCCGCCGGCGCGGAAGCCCTCCTCGTCCATGATGTAGTACATGATCCACTGCAGTAAGGACGGGCGGTACGGTACGGGCGGGCGGTACGGGTCAGCAACGCGGGCGGGCGGCGCCGGGCGCATGGCAGGCGCCCCAGCCGTCTCCTTGGCAGCCGCCCCTCCCTGCCAGCCTGGGCCTGGGCTGCCACGTGCTGCTGCCGCTGCTTGCCGCGGCCCCTGCGCGCCAGCCGGGGGCCGGGTGGCCCCCACCCACCTTGAGCGGGTCCAGGCCCATGTGCCAGATGAGGGACCAGATCCAGGCAACAACAGCGTAGTAGGTGCAGCCCAGCACTGCGGGACACGGGAGCCGGGGAGGGGCCAGGGAGGGACAGCAGGCGGTGAGGGCAGGAGGGCAGGCAGAGCAGCGGGGCCCGGGCCCGGGCGCGCGCGCCGAGCCAGCCGCCGCGGCTGCTCGGGCGGGTGGCAGCCTGCGGGGGGTCTGCGGGCCAGGCGAGCAGGCGGGGAGGGGGAGCGGGAGGAGGGAGCGTGGTGGTGGTGGTGGCCTCACCAGAGGCGGTGAAGGCGCCTTCGGTGCCGTACACAGGGGCCACCTTGTTGGACCAGAAGGGGTGTCC